CTAGGGTTCAAGCCGCTGGTGTGTACTTTATAAATGGTTTTATGTGCTACAGTGTGTGTACTTTAAATGGCTCCACCTGCCACCCGTACAGCAACACAGTTCCAGTTAGGAGGACCAACCAAGCATCTTCTTCCATCTCCCTGTTACAGAAATCACTGCCGTGTACACGTCCACTGATAGGAGACGTGCGGAAGCTGTATTAAACTGATAAAAATAGTACTAAACACACCACTCCTATCTGGTGTCACATTAGCTTGACCGCGCAGTGCCCCAAATTTGCAGTAAGAGGACCGACCAAGCCTCTTCTTCCATCTCCCTGTTACAAAAATCAATGCCGTGTACACGACCACTGATAGGAGACGCGGAAGGTATTAAACTGATCAGAACAATACTAAACACACCACTCCTATCTGGTGGCACATTAGCTTGACCGCGCAGTGCCCCAAATTTGCAGTAAGGGGACCGACCAAGCCTCTTCTTCCATCTCCCTGTTACAAAAATCAATGCCGTGTACACGACCACTGATAGGAGACGCGGAAGGTATTAAACTGATAAAAATAGTACTAAACACACCACTACTATCTGGTGTCACATTAGCTTGACCGCGCAGTGCCCCAAATTTAATGTGATCTGTGAGTAAGGTAAACGGTTGTCCATACAAGTAGGTTGCAGCTTTTTGAGGGCCCACACCACCGCCATGCACTCCTTTTCAATGGCAGTGAATATACTTCGCTGTGCAAAAGTTTACGGCTTAGATAAAAATCAATGCCGTGTACACGTCCACTGATAGGAGACGCGGAAGGTATTAAACTGATCAGAACAATACTAAACACACCACTCCTTTTTTTTGGTGAGGCTTTACAGGACAGAGTGCTTCTCCACGGGACATGTTAACTCACGGGCGGCTGGCTCATCAAGGAACCAGAGCAGCTTTCCATGTACAGGTAAGACACGTGCAGCCGGTAAGGGTTCAGGCTCTTCTTCCTGGAGGATACGCTGCAAGCCTGTTGAACGAGGTGACCTTGCTCGGGTCCCAGGTGTACGGTTCCTAAAATGGCTGCCATATACACGTCCACTGATAGGAGACGCGGAAGGTATTAAACTGATCAGAACAATACTAAACACACCACAAATAAGGTTTCTCTCCTGTATGGCTCCTCAAATGATGCTTAAGATTAGAAGCGGCTGAAAAGCATTTCTCACACTCCGAACAAAAATATATTTTTTTAACATTCTCTCCACTTTGAACGAAATGACGTTTGGGAAGAGATTAACATAATTAAACACAGGCAGTAAAAATACAGTTTTTAGCCATACCCTGTAACTTTAAAACTACACATCCCATCTTCATAATTACATATTTGGAATCAGCACACTTAAAACATAAACATAACCAAAAATCAGCCAAATCCATCCAGGGGTTAAAAAGTTAGCTGGAGGTCCCTTTATGACCGACCGCAAGCACATTTTCCTGCCCAAAACAGTTCCATAGATTTGGGCTGTGAGGTCGGTCTATTTCAGGCTGAAAAAACGACTAAGTCCCATCGCGAATGGGACTTAGTCTCTGCAGCTGAAATAAGGCTGAAAAAAACGGCTGAAAAAAGACTAAGTCCCATGGCGAATGGGACTTAGTCTCTGCAGCTGAAATAAGGCTGAAAAAAACGGCTGAAAAAAAGACTAAGTCCCATCGCCGAATGGGACTTAGTCTCTGCAGCTGAAATAATTTCCCATTTACTGAACCAAGTGGGAAATAGCCAGGCAGGCACAAAGGGTTTGCACCAGGTCTGGGGACACAGGGGACACCGTCTTAAAGGGGCCGTGTCCCCAACAAGTCTGGGGACACGGCCTTAAAGGGGCAGTGTCCCAATCTTCCTGATGTCCCAAAAAAGGTGTTTAAAGGGCCAGCACCAGTCACATAAAGAGTCCATAAGCCCCAATATGCCCACCGACAGTCTTAAAGGGCCATACACACCAAATAAAAGTGCATACATTTTCACAATCTCCCAGGGGCCATAGTCATGCGGGAGGAGGCTGGCAAATAGGCTTCTCCACAACCCAGGGAAGCAGGGCAATTTGCCATTTAAAGGGCCCGTTACAAATAGCAGTTTGTAACAAGGTGTCAATCCATATCTGCCAAGTGACCCGATGTAGGGGGACCAGTCCCTATTCTGCTCTGTGTCAGTGTGTATCAGGGAACCTTAGGACAGGTGTCAATCCATATCTGCCAAGTGACCCGATGTAGGGGGAAACAGTCCCTATTCTGCTCTGTGTCAGTGTGTATCAGGGATCCTTAGGACAGGTGTCAATCCATATCTGCCAAGTGACCCTATGTAGGGGGACCAGTCTCTATTCTGCTCTGTGTCCGTGTGCATCAGGGGCTCTGAGGACAGGTGTCAATCCATATGTCAAGGTGTCAATATGTCATATGTCAGGTGTCAATCCATATTCATTGTGATTTAGGAATGTTAGGTGATTTCTGCCCTTTATGGATTAAAACCAGACTCTGTATCAACTGTGTAATTTTCCATGGGAGTTTTGCCATGGATCCCCCTCCGGCATGCCACAGTCCAGGTGTTAGTCCCCTTGAAACAACTTTTCCATCCCTATTGTGGCCAGAAAGAGTCCCTGTGTGTTTTAAAATTCGCCTCCACATTGAAGTCAATGGCGTTTCGGGCGGTTCGCCGGTTCGCGAACACTTGCGGAAGTTCGCGTTCGCCGTTCGCGAACCGAAAATTTCGGGTTCGCGACATCACTATTTGAGACCTGTCTGGATGAACTATTAGTAAAATGTAAGACCTGTAAATATTTGCTAACATGCGAAGCACCTGTCATTCGCACTGAAAAAAAGTATTTCAGGGACTTTATTGAATGTTTACACAACCTGTGAACTTAACCTTCAGTGTGAACTGTGGAGAAGCCAGACAATGATTGGCAACCGCTCTTGCGGCAATTTATTGGCGAGTTCATCAGTTCTTTTCAGTGGATCACATTTTACTAAAGTTTTTGAATTCTTTAAGATTTTTGGGATAGCATTAATTTCTGAATCAATTTATTACGTTTATCAAAAAAAATATGTTTCCTGTAATCAGTCATCACTACACAAAGGAAAGACGTTTCTTGATTGAGAGTTTGAAGGACAATTGAGAGTTTGAAGGCAATGTGATAGCCCTCGCTTCAGTGCAAAGTACTGCACTTATTCTCTTTTAGTGGAAAGTTCACAGAAAATTATTGAGTGGAAAACTATACAAGTAAGTGAAACAACTTCCTCAGTTGCCATGGAAGCAAGGGCATTCACAAGTTGCATGGATCAAATTTTGAGTGAAAACCTGATTGTTCAAATACTTGTAACGGACAGGCATGTCAGCATCCACAAAATATTGCGTGAAAAATATAAAACCATAAATCATCAGTTCGACATATGGCACTACTACAAGAACATGCGTTTGAAACTTGCAGAAATCAATAATAAATCATACGTGGGCAGCATGTTCATCGTGTGAAGGAAGTCCTCAATTGTTAATGGAGAAATGGCAGTCGGTCCTTCATCATAATTTGGATATTCTCCAATGGGATTCAGCAACACAGTTCAACAAGTGTGATCATGGAGAATATCTCAAAAATCATGATAGAAAACATAAATGGCTCAAACCAGGTGGAATTGCATATTCGAAACTTCGAAGTTTTGTTAAGGATGAGAAATTTGAGAAAGACTTTCCACACTTGGTGGAGTTTGGTCACACAGGCTCACTTTAAGTTTTTCACAGTTTTGTTTTAAAATATCGTCTCAAAAGAGTCCACTTCTCAATGGACAGCATGGTGCTGGCACACAACGCCAATGTGGACAGAGAGCAAGCCACAATTCATAAATCCCAGAATGGAAGTGGACCAATTGGAGAATTGCGTTTCCAACCTTATTTATCCAAGAGAAACAAAACATGGAAAATGAAAAAATATTTACGACAAGCCAACCGTTGAGCATATTTATGTGTGTGTGTGTGTGTAATTGTCTCTGTAACTGTCTCTCTATAGATATATATCTATCTATATAGAGACATTTGTATATGGAGAGAGAGAGAGCAAGATTTATATATTATATACACACATATAGAACTGCCTCTCTATAGATATAAAAATATATATTATTATTTATACAGCGCCATAAGATTCCGTATATATATTATATACACATGCATATTGAACTGTCTCTCTATAGATATAAAATATATATAATTATTATTATTTTATTATTTATACAGTGCTATAAGATTCCATAGCGCTGTACTATCTATATATATATATATATATATATATATATATATATATATAGAAAGAAAGAAAAATAGGATAGCACTCTCAGGACTATAGATGAAAATAAAACTTAACTTTTAATGAGCTTAATACAAAAATCGACGTTTCAGTCTGGTAATTCCAGACTTTCAACAGACTGAAACGTCGATTTTTGTATTAAGCTCATTAAAAGTTAAGTTTTATTTTCATCTATAGTCCTGAGAGTGCTATCCTATTTTTCTTTCTGTATGATGCTGGACAAGCACCGGGCATTGGAATTTTTTTGTATTTGATGGAGTGCAGGATCTCTTCTCTTTTTTTTTTATATATAGATATAGATATAAAGAGAGACCTTTCGCCCTCTCTCTACACCTCTCTCTCTCTCCACATACA